AAGCAGTGTGAAGAGATGAATGGTTGAATCTTTGTCAAAAGGTTGCAAAGGGGCCAAGAGACTAAAATTCTTTAGATTCTAAAGTCTTATTTGAACTAGTATGTATGCTTGTCATTCTCATCCCACATACAGCCCAGATGGAAATGAATCTTCTTGAGAATAGAAGAAATGTTTTCAAAATCTCTGAGCAAAGAGGGGAGTCCGGGTTATTTTTATGCTTCCTGATATTTCTCATGCTCCATTTTTTTTTTTGTGTCATGACCCTCATGACTATATCCATAGGTTCATCCTACATGGTGAAGTAGGTGAGTGCTGTCTACTTGTAAAGTCTTGAATAGCTCTATCCTTGTACTGCTTGCCTGGAAAAAAATATACTGCTTCTTTTTGTGTGAGTTCTTATCACAAAAAGATGCTCATGATAATCCTGAAGAGTGTAGTCTGCTATTCACAAAAGAATTAAAGATGCAATGGATGTCATTCCATACCACTTATGTTGCCCAGATTTTTCATCAATATATTATGAGAAAGTGAGCAAGAGCTTCAGTGCCTTTCCACTTCTCCTTTGAGATATTTAACTACTGTACTTACTTTAACAAATTTTTCTGATAGACAGTAGTTCACTGTGTACTGACAGAGTTCATACATTTCTTTCCTTTTAAGATTGATATTAAAAAAATCAAACAACCTTCCATGCCCCAAGTAAGGACATCTGTGACAGGAAGAAATAAAAACGACAAACTTTATGCTTTGTCTATCAGGTGATCCTGTCCTTAACATAGGAGTGGAGAACAAGTTGAGAGGGTGTTCTCTTCACACAGGTATCAAAGGCTCATGGGATTGAGGTGAGGATTGTAAACAGACTTTCAATACATTTTTGTTAGGGCTGACTGTGGAGGCTTGGTATGTGGTTATAGGAGTTCATGGGCAGCTGAGTGAACAGCTTCCATCGTTAGGCTCCAGTACCCGAACTAGAAAAGGCTCTGGACAATCCTGAGAAATATGGTGAGCCATCTTTCCATTAAAACTTGGGTAAAAGTTCAAACCTGACTTTTTTTCACCAAAATGTCTTGAGGTAGTGGGACTGTAGAGCTAATTTTTAAACCCTATCCTAATTGTAATCAGCCTTACTAAAGTCAAACAAAATCTGTTAGTGCTGAATTATGGAAACAACTGTAGTATAATCCAGGTCAAAGATACCTAGAAATTAAGCATTTCACCTACAAAGCTTTACAAAGTCCTACAAACCTAAAAAGCCTTTAAAAAGATAGGGAATGAGTTGACACCTGTGCAGTGTCATTCTCTAAGATGAGCGTTACCTAGGGCTTCTTGATTATTTCTAAGCACACAGAAATTATCTTTTATAAGACTGCAAGGTTCATAAATTGAGGTCTGTTAAAGAGCAGCTACTAGACCCCAATATTCAATTAATTTCTTTTGCCTTCCTGGTGTGTTTGGGGCATTGCAGATTTCTTGAGGTTTCCTTTAACTCTCTGTTATATTTGTGCTTTTTTTCCCATTCTACTATATCTTATAATTCTTGTCATAAAAGACATGTTCTTTTCCCCTATATACACAAGTTGTTGATTCCTGCTTGGTCACAGTAGTCTCACAGGATCTAGCAGGTTTTTTCAAAGAGCCCTTCAGATGACATGAGATGTGCTTTCTTGGGCAGCCATGCACCACTAACTAGAGAATAGTTTTGCATATCAGAAGGACCTCTTTCAGGTTATGGATGACTGCAGAAATTCTTACTGTTTCTCATTGCTGAACTAATAATAAATTTTATTTCTACCTTTGAGTCAGTTTCTAGGTATGAGCAGATGAAGCGTGGCTTAATTTTGTCAGGATATGATAGTTTCTATTACATGAACTTTCAAGGGAACAAAATTATTTTCAACTTGAATTATATTTCAAGTGCAGTAAATACAAAGAATTATTCAGTAAAAGATGAAAATAATGAAGGGGAAAAACCCTGGCTGAAAAGTTGAGCATTGTTACTGTATATTCAGTACTGGGTAGTGTTGCAGTAAAGCTAGACTTGATCTTTTTTTGTTTCGGGAAAAAATAATACTGTTCTAAAGGCAAAGTTTTGGTGGACTTTAATTTTCAAGTAAGCTGCCCACGTATGCATCTTAGTAAAATCTCAAAAGGCAAAAACACTGTCACAGAAAAAAGCTACTAGTACATAGTGGATTTTTGATAGAGAACATCATAGCTATTTGTAGCATAAACTTTGACTCTGCATTTCAATTCAGTCAAGCATTTCAAAATACAATATTTCACCTTTTAATACAATTTGAAGCAAGTAAGATGCAAGCCTTACATTCCTGCTTAATAATGAAGTTAACTCTTAATACAGAAGGCAAATCAATGTCAGAAAAAAAAATGCAAGCTTATAATTCAAACCATACCCTTTTGGTTTCCCATAGGTAACTTAATAGCACTTGCTGCTTGCTTCAATAAACATTTAACCAAACTGCAGTATGAAAAACTTTGGTCAACAGCATGGCTCTTCCCTCTGTATATAGATAGAAAAGACAATTTAAATAGGGGAAGCATATTGCATTAGAGCTTTATGAGATGTGTGCTGCAGAGCCTTTATTCCATCAAGTGGGGTGTTAGATATATTTCACTCCCCCTTTCTTATACAAATAAAGCTTTCTTTCTCATATATAAAAATCAATATAATTGAGAAGAAATGCAGTTGAGCCTTCAATAAACATCATAAAACCCCTTTCTCATTCCTGCTTAGCCAAGATCAAAGCTGCAGAGTGGTGCAGATATTCCATATTGAAGTGGAATTACTTTGTTGTCTTTTTCCTCTCAATGCATGTTTCTCTTTTCTTCGCTTTTATCTTTAGAATTTCTTGAGTACTCAAGCCTTGTACTTTCCATTTGCACAGGGGTGAATGAATGTGAAATTCATTGTTTATGAGCTCATGTGCATACCCAAGGTTATTTTTTTCTTCTCATGCACTGTATGAAGGAATCCCTATGCAGTTCTGGTTTTCTCAGTATTTTGAGAAGGCAGGAGGGTTCACAAAAGTGCAGAAAAAAAAAAGGAAGAGTTCTAAAATGTCCCCATTGTAGTGGGAAGAGTATTAATCCCAGTTTACAAACTGTAGTGAAGGCAAGGCTAAGAGTTACTTTGTGGTAATCTGAAGATTTTAGGGGACAGATTTCTGAGAGCAGAAGAACAGATGCTCCTTTAGGATTGCAGAAATATGAAATTATATTATGGCTGGAAGTTAGAACCAAGTAAATTCAAACAAAGTGTAAAGAATGAATTCTTAAATTTTCCTTATGGTGTAACTATTGTCTTTATATCCATATTTTTAAAGAACTGTTACAGTGCTTTTAGTCAATAGAGACTGAAAAATATTACCCTGCTTTAGTGTGCTGGTAAGAGTTGGTTAACTTTAAATATCATCACCTGCTACAATGCTGAGCATGGCCCTTTATGATTTCCTGTGACAAAACTTTGTGAAAAGGTGAGCATTCACAAATCTTGTCAAGATGGCAACAGTCCTCCAAGCAATTTGTAGACATATAATGAACTCAAGAGACTAAAAGGTAGAATCCCTATTCTACAAGTTTCAATCAGCTTTTGCTGGGTAAACTTTGTTTCAAGTATCTCCAGGGTAAAGAATGGATGAACAAAGTGTAGAAATAATTTAGTCTAAAAGGAAGGGAAGACAGATAATTTAAGTGTTAATCGAGGACTGGAGATACAGGTTCAGGTGTAGAAAAGGTTTCTCCTTTTATAAGTGGACTTATGTGGGATCCTTGACAAGTTTTTTATTCTCCTTAGCTACATCTGTACCGTGCTTCTGACAATGCATCCCACTGCCCATGTGGTTTGTGTGCCCCAGAAACATTTTAACTCTGGGTATGCTCTCCGTTTCCATGTCTCCTGATCCTCCCAGTGCAGCCACTTCGGCACTCGAAGGAGCTGTGGTGCACTGCAGGCAAGTGTCAGTCGGGCTGCCTGACCCTGACCAGCAGGCAGACACCGTGAAGCACCGTGAAGGTCAAGTGCACTGTCATTATTTATTCCTCACATTATTGCTCCATGAGGCTGTGATTGTGAACTACACTGGGGCTACTAAGCTACCCTGGCTTGATGTAGATTATTATTGTGTTACTCATGAAATCAGTTTTCGATGGTTTCACACAACCATCAAATGACTGAGGTTGGATGGGACATCCAGGAGCTCTCCTGTACATGTAGAGCCAGGACTGTATCCAGGCATCTTTTGAATAGTTCAAGGAGACAGTGCCCACACCCTTCCCAGGCAGCCTGTGCCAGTGCTCACACTAAAAAAAGGCATTTCCTGATGCTCAGAGGCAGCCTCCTGTGTTTCACCTTGTGCCTGTTGCCTCTGTCTCAAACTGGCACCCTAGTAACTCTGCGGAAGAGTATTAGTTGTCATCATGTTTTACATCTTAAAGGGAAAGAACTGAAAAAATACAATTCTAGATTTATTTTTGTCAGGTCTCAAGTAATTTTCTTAGAATAAGGACAATAAGGAAGGAGCACAAATTGCTATCCTAACACCATGCTGGCAAAATATCTTCAACATACCAATTCATTTTCTAATGAAGTCAGATCATGTTCATGTGTTCAAATAGATATTCTTCTGTCATTAATAGCTAAGTGGTCCATTTTTAATACTATGGCCTATTTGTCAAGACTCTAGGAAGGAGCAGAATGTGTGAATGTGCTCTGCCTCCTACACTGCAGTTTCAATACTTATTCTGAAATTATTTATTCTAAACATAATATTCTGAGCTATTTTTCCAGTATTTCTGTGGACAATCTTTCTGCCTTGGTCTTAGAAATAATGAGATGGTCATTTCAAGATTATCAGTTGATTTCTGCTAAAGATAATTTCTTCAGCACCCTAAGTTTTTATTGGGAGAAAACAATCTATCTTCTGATGTTTAAAATATATTTAAAACACACTTGAAAAATTTTTAAAATGTTTTCTTCTCTCTAGAAAATACAAAGGATCTCCTCGTGATATATGAACAAGAAGCAGAAGAGTGGGCTCTGTATTTAAAATCTCTTTTTGGACTCATATTGAACAAAGAAGGTATCTTACTCTACAACCTAGAAAATTCATCTTTCAAGCACCAGGAGCTACTCTGTTTACTCTCTTATAAATGTAAACTCCTGATACTGTCATGTGGACTTCTTAACTGCCTGAATCAAAAGAGAAGTTATATTCTGGAACAAGTTCTAAAACCTCCGGATAATGTGGTAATTCTGCTTTGTGGAGTGGAGAATTCAGAGATTCTTTATGAGATACTGACCTTAGCTGGAGGCAGCAAAGAGATTTCTACTGATCAGAAACCTGAGGAGTATGTTTCTGTTGTTAAAGAAATTATTCAACCAGGTAATGTACTACTGCTCGTTTGTAATCCTTAGGTCTCTTACATCCCCTCAGCCCTTCCTATTTAGCCAGGATTTTGTCCACCAAGCAGAGTGTTGTGCTTCTCTCTGTGTTGCATGCAAGGTGCCATTTTATTGGAATGGGAGCTTGTGCTTGAGAGACATCCTGATGGTCAGGTTTTTTACTCAGAGCTTAACCTAGTTTTGGATACATGTGAACAACCAAGAATGTTCTTTTGAACACGGGGATAGAGAGACCCCAGCTGAATGAGCAACCTAGCTGGATGTCCCTGCTGCCTTGTGCTTAAGTAGGTAAGCTTAAGTATGCTGTGGAGCTTTAAAACTGCCCAGAATGTCTATACACAGCCTGCCTATATGAGATCAGTTCATTCAAAAGTACATTTTAGACTCCTTCTCCCCAACTACCTTCAATATTGAATAACATTTTCCTCACTACATATCTCAGACTTGACGATTTGGGCTCATTTGGTTGTCTGTTTTGGTTTCAGAAGGTAATGTTTGCAATTTCTGTCTGTGTCCAATATGTAATTTCAGACTGAAGCTTCTTGGCCATTTTTTAATGGGATGAAAACAGTGGGTCTATACTTTGTGTGTGTGTCTATATGTGGGAAGTAACTGTGCTTAGATACTATCAGGTGACACATGCACAGGACATTGCAAACCTTTCTGCAGCAATAAACAGTTTCCTAGAAGACACAGGAAAATTATTTGGTTAGGTCAATGCATTCACAAGAATACTTATTATCTGTGCCCTTGGGACTTAAATGTAAAGCCAGATGTTTAGTAGGTGTTCAAATGATCTTTGCTTTGACAGTGACCAAAATCAGCAATTTTGGAGATTAGGAGAAAGCTGAATTAATGAACAGTTGTTGAAGGCCTCAGTCTCAGTGTGTACATCTTTACTGGGGGTGCATAGAGTGTGGCTGGGATCAGATGAGTTCAGTGGACTGAGCCAGATCCAGGACTGGAAGTGGTGGTGATGCCTGGTGCTTCAGGGCTAAGCCCTCCTCCACACTCTAAGCTTAGAACTACTCTGGCCCTGTTTTTTGTGTACTGGTGTGCCCTGGCCACCAGCCAGGCCAGCTTAGATCAGTGCTTGATAGGAGACCTCTGCTCTGCTCTCTGTTGCACAGTAAAAGTGTTCCAAGTAAGAGATTTGCTTTCATCTGAGTGTTGATTTAAGATGGTTTGTCATTATTTACCTTTGCTTAAAGATAACGGTGTCTGTATATATGATATTCTTCTGTAGAATCCTGTTAAGCTCTTAGCCTTTGTGACACCTGTGACAGGGATTTTGACAGACTGCACATCTGGGAAAGAAGTTTTTTCCCTTGTATTTGAAATTATTTGCTAAGACGGTGTTAAGTATAGAGAAGGATTATTTTTCCCTTGGAGCATTTTTTTTTTTTTTTTTGCCTTTCATTGGGACCAGACCCACAAGATTTCCCATTTCTCTTCATATGGATCATTGTCTTCAATCCCATTTGTTTCCAGTGCTCATCTCTAGACCCTTATATTCCTGATCTTTTAGAGATAGTAATGAAAACACTTTTGTGTATATTCTTTGTGGTTTTCAGTTCCTTTTTTTCCCACTAAACTGTTAATTACTCTTAACTTATTCTCCCAAGCATTTGTAGCTTCTTGTCTCCTCAGCATTGACAAGAGCTCTTGCTCTAAAAGTGACACTGAGTCTGAAAGCTCAATAATGTGCTTTAATTATAATGGCCATACCACATGCCTTCCACTGCAACTAAATCCTGTTAATCCCATTGAGATCCTAGGACTAATGGATGCCAGGGTTGAGGAGTGGCCCCTGGGCAGTTAGAACAGCTGAAGATGGATGCTAAATCAGGTTGTTATCTCACAGATGAACACTGTCCTGGAGAATGTTAACAATGGCATAGCATAGATGCTAATAGTCACCAGCCTTCCACTACAGATTTTCCCATACTCAGGAAAGCTCGTAGGCAAGGTAAGTTCTTAGCTGTCTCTTCTCTCCGAGGTGCTATTCTCTTTGCACTATCCCTACAACCTGAGATGGAAGAAGTGCAAAATAAGTCTCGTTTTATATGTCCCTACAGTTATTTCACCTCCCAGACAGTGCTGGTTTCATCTTCTTGTCTGTTAAAACTTCCTTCTGGCTTTAAAGTAGTATATATGCCAAATATACTAAGCAAAATTGAAAACTAATTAAAATGTTGAGTAAAACTAAATGAAACAGAAGATGCAGGGGGTTTTTCGCTCAGCAGAGAGCTTGTTTGTAATGTGGTTCAAACACAATATCTGAATGGTTTGTTATGCCTGTTGGAACATGTTCTTGGAGGAGTAAAGAGAGAACTAGGACATGGAGAGTGATCTTCCTAACATGTATTTTCAGGATGCTGACAGACTTTATTATATTCATCTTCTGCGTGAAGAACACAAATTTTTATTGTTGTTAAAAGATTCCTTTCACAGGATTTGTTTGTAAAATATTTCACTGTTTGAAAATGCCACATTCAGATTCTGAGTTGGGTTTATGTTTTGTAGATCCTGTGCCTATTGCCATAAAAAAGATAACCCCCAGAGAAGAACGAGAACGCTCAGAAGTTTTCTTTTTCTATGTTAACACCTAAGATGGCCCAGTGAGACTCTAGAATTCTGACTTTTCTTTATGAACTTTTCCCCATATTGTTGAAAGCAGAATCAGGAAACATATTTTGCTTGCATCTGTTTTTTCTTTCTCCTGTGTCTTTCTAGTACTTTGTCCTTGGTCTGCTGAACTATGTACCCTTTTTTTAGATGAAATTGACATATTTTCTATCTATTAATTCAGTATCCTGGGGTACTAAATATAGCTGGGGTTTTTCTGTTTAGTCTGGAAGACTTCAAATTCAGGCAAGCATGTGTTTATCTAAAGGATCTGTAGATAGATATTTGCATCTGTAGGTAGTTAACTTAGATCCTTAAATGTCCTCAATTTCTCCTGTAGCTGTCCTCAGTATTAATGGTGCAAAAAAGAGAACAGGTCTTATCTAATGCAAATAATTTTCTGTGACACCGTTTCCAAAGTGTGCTGACACTTTTATTAGACTTTGGTGGGACTTCTTGGTACAACTCAGGAGTCATAAGTATCCATTAGTCTGTTTGTGGTTTTATTAGGTTTCATTTTTTAAAGCACCACAAAAGCAACTCTTATCGCTTCCACTTCCAGATTTTTTCCCCAAGCACTGATATCCCTTTTTTTTTTCTTTTAATGCCAAAATATGAAGAGAATTTACTTCTGCAAAATTTGATAGTTGAGAACAGCACATCAAATCGATATGTATCCATTAATTATCTGCTATTTTATTAAAAATTGAGTAGTACATAAAGTAACATAACCCAACTAGAAAATGGTACCTAGAGTCTTTGACAGCAGGAAAGATTCTCAGAACACATTTGTAACTTTTACCTGAGACAGCAATATGCCATTAATTTCTGATTGTTTACCTAGAAGGTATTCCATGTATCTGCAGGCAGTTTTAATATTTTGCAACTAGTAGTATGGTATAGATGTGGACAAATGAGATACTAGCATAGGGTGTTTCTCTAATAAGTAAATGTGGGGAAAGCATGCTGGGAGTTAAAATAGGGCTTCACTCAAGCAGATCTTCAGAGCACTTCAGATAGTGAGGGGCTAATTTCCATTGTGCAGACCACAGAAAAGAGGAAGAAATAATTATATTTTTATCATAACTTTTATGGTATCTGTTTCCTGTTTCTTTTCTAGTGCGGTGGCATCAATTTTATTGTGATTTCGTATGACATTGAATACTGAAGTAATGTTTCACATTTTGACTCCACTGCTTTGCTTGTTCTCCTGTAAAATCCTCTTCACATTGATATTCTAATACAAGTAATGAATGCCAGTGGATTTCCTTAGGCTGGGAGGAAGCCTTGTGCTAATGAGCTAAACTCCTGATTTAAGTGGGAACTTTACCATTGGCTTCAGTGGGCAAGTGCTTCACCTAAATTTTGACACTGACTTGGAGTCTATGAGAAAATTCAGCTCATGTCCTAAAAAGCCCCAAAGTTGAAGAAGAAAATTACTAGAATTTTTGGTCTTGTTTGTTTGTGAATACTAAATACTGTGTGTGTATGTGTGTGACCTCAGTCTTGGTTGTGAAGATTTCTCCCCTGAACATGCAAGACTGAGAAGAGAATATATAGAGAGAAGTAGGTGAGTGGTTCTGGCCTTGTTCAGTGCTAGGAAAGGTTTCAATAAATGAGACTACATGGTTGTGCCTCTGTTTACTCCTTCCCCAAAGCATTTACATTCAGGCAGTGCATACTGCTGGGGTTTTAAGGCAGTGATGTCATCTGCTTATTGCACACCACTTCAAATGTCAATTAAATTTTTATTAAAATGAAAATAATCTGTGTAACTGTATCATAAGCACAAGAGCAGAAGGGACATTTTATTAGTTGGTGCGTGCTGCAGCATGCTCTCATTTCCATTCCAAAAATGAGTCTTTGAACTGCTCTGTGGGGACTGCTAAGATTACCAGAGTATTACATCTTCCTGAGATGCTGTGCTTCCCCTTTCCACTCAGAAGGGATGCCAGTGCAGTGATGGGGGTTGGTGATGACTGCCAACAAAAACCTGGTTTGTGTCACTAACTTCTTTCATCTGACATGAGATCCTGGCTATTACAAAGCAGAAGAGAGACTGAAGTGACTGTCTGGAGGTGGCAACCCTGGATAAGATGTTGAGACTGTCATCACCTGTCACTTAAACTGTTTGACTGTTTTTCCTATTTCTTCTCTTTTTTTTTTCTGCAAAATTCAGGGAAGACTTTACTTGTTAGGATTTATTTGTGAGGTTTTTTTAGGTTTCTTATCAGCTCATGTTCTAATCTATGTAGCTAGTCATGGTAACCTGTACCCTTGGATTCTGAAGTGTCATGTATGTGATGTTTTTTCCTCTTATTTTTGCCAATAATTGGATGAAAAGTTCTTACACCCAGAAAAGTAAGTGCACTGATATCTTAAAGTTTTTTAGTGTGTCTTTTTAAAAAAATTTTAGCAGCATTTAGGACAAACTCATTAAAATTTTAGTTAATAATAGATGTAAGATGACTAGAACATAAGCATTATTGCAACAGCATGTACTAAGCATGCTGCTGTTTCATTTGTTTCTTTAGTTTATAATTTTTTATTTTAAAAATAAATTAATGGCTTTATCATTTTTAGTCTGCTCTTCCAAGGTTTGAAATGGATATCAACCAAATTTGTATTGTTTATGGCCCAGTCATCAGTTAGAGTCACACAACTGCAATTAAATACTTTCTCAAGCTGACAAATAATTTAAGATTCCCAGCAAGTATATTTGCCGGTAATGGTGCAAAATGGCTGTGTGACTTTGTAGTCTTATATGTACTTCATGTAATGTATTATTGCGTCTGATTGAGTCTTGCACTGTGGTTACCAGTCAGAATTACTGAAAAATTATCATTGGAAGGCATCTAGAGAACACCTCTGTAAGGGTACCCCTTGTATATCTTTTTGCACACAACTGTTGTTATAGCAAAATTGGTATTTGTAATTTCACCATAATGCTGCTTCTGTTAGATTAGTGCCATCTTCTTGGAAATGGGATAAAATAAGGGGTGTTTTGCAGTCCAGACTAAAGAAATTGTCACTTATCCCTGAAAAAAAATTGCAGTATAACACCTATTTAAGTTCACTGTAGAAAAAACAGAATCAGATTTTGTTCTTGGTAGGTCCCTGAAAAGGCTGAGTCCAGAACTTCATCCTGAAAATGTCAATACATGTATTGTCGCTGTCATGTTTTTTGAAAAATCTTTTTGCTAGGATTTTTTCTCCTGGGAAGCTGAGAAGCGTCAGGGAGGAATGAAAACAATTATCTGATTGCTTCTCCTGTTTTTGCTGCTTTAGGATGTGGTTTGGAGATTGTTTACCAACTGGTCATTGTTTGATTGGTTTAATATGAATTGTTTTAACTTAATGACCAATCACTGTCCAGCTGTGTCAAACTCTGGAGAAGAGTCAGGAGTTTTCATTATCATTCTTGTTAAGCCTCCTAGCTATATCCTTTGTCTATTCTTTTAGTATAGTTTAGTATAGCATTTCTTTAATATTATATAACATCATAAAATAAATTAGCCTTCTAAGAACATGGAGTTGGATTTATCATTTTCCTCCTCTGTCCAGGGATCCCAGAAGCTACCACACAGGATCTTACAGGGCACAGGCTGACAGAGCTGGCCTTGAGAAGAGACAGGGAGAAGGGACTTTAAAAAAAAGTCATCAATGTCTATCAGTATCTGAAGGGAGAGTGTCAAGGGGATGGAGGCAGACTCAGTGCTGCCAAGCAATAGGACAAGAAGCAACAAGCAGAAACTGATGTTCCACTTAAATGTGAGAAAGATTTCCAGTGAGGGAGACTCCACAACCTCTCTGGCTATCTTTTCCAGTGTTCAGTCACCTGTGTAGAGAAGTTGTTCTATCTTCTTCAAGTGGTGTCTGGATGCAGTCCTCTGCCGTGTGTTTCAGGATGATCCTGCTTGAGCAGGGGCATTTGGACCAGATGAGATGCAATGGTCCCTTCCAAGCAGACCTGTTCAGTGATTGTGTTGGGTGCTGTTTAACATCTTTTGTCGTGGCATTGAGTACACCCTTAGCACATTTGCTGCTGACACCAAGCTGTGTGGTGCAGTTGACACGCTGGAGGGAAGGGATGCCATTTGGAGGGACCTTGACAGGCTCGAGAAGTGTGCCCACACAAACCTTGTGAAGGCCAGAAGGCCAAGTGCAAGGTCCTGCACATGTCAGGGCAAACCCAACACAGTCTGGGTGGAGAATGGATTGAATGCAGCCCTGAGGACTTAGAGGTGGTGGTTGATGAGAAGATCAATATGTGCACTTACGGCCTAGAAAGCCAACTGCATCCTGGGCTGCAGCATGGGCAGCTGGGTAAGGGAGGGGATTCTGCTCCTCTACTCTGGTGAGACCCCACCTGCAGTGCTGCATCCAGCTCTGGAAGCTCCCAACATATGAACAACATAGACCAGCTTGAGCAAGTCCAGAGGAGGCCATGAAGATGCTCAGAGCACTGTAGCACCTCTCCTGCAGACAGGCTGAAAGGGCTGGCATTGTCCAGCCCACAGCCTAGAAGGTTTTGGGGATGGGACAAGGGGGAATGGCTTTGGACTGGAGGAAGGTAGGCTTAAGTTTGATGTAAGGAAGAAGTTCCTTACAATGAGGATGGTGAGGCGCTGGAATGGACTGCTCAGAGAACCTGTAGATGCCCCATCCCTGGAAGTGTTTGAGGCCAGGTTGGATGAGGTTTGAGCAATCTGATCTTTTGGAAGGTGTCTCTGCTCATGGCTAAGGGGTTGGAGCTAAATGTTCCTCAAGGTCCTTTCGAACCCAAATCACTCTATGATTCTGTGATGCTGTTTGTAACCAGATCTATTGTATTATCAAACAGAGTGCTGTCTTGTCTTCCAAACTGAAATGTCTGTATCCATTTCAGTTTCTCGCTTTACTGCCCATGATTCTATTCTTTCCTTACTCCCAACTCCTCTCCCATTGTTTGCTGAATTGACTTCCAGGGAAATGTCTTCCTCAAGAACACATTTCTCACCAGCTCTGGTCAATTGAAAAAATTCAGTCATAGAGGCACTTACTGAAAAAGGATAAATACAGTTGCATCTAAAGATCTCTCGCTTCTTCCTCTGTACTAGCCCTTGGATTTGTTCTAAGATTTCTTCTTTCTGTCTGCAGAAAAATAGCTCTAAATAGCTTTATCTTACATTCAAAATACATACAGGTTTTAATCTTTAAAAAAAAAAGTGGAAATCAGCGTGATGTTATCTTCTTTCTTCTTTCTTATTTTTTCCTAGATAAACCATGGGATGAAAATCCTGGAGATTCTGTGTCTTACACCTATGAAGCAGTTCTTGCAGATGGTGAGTTGAATTCCTCTTGCATTTCAGAGAATAAAGCCTGAAAATTTTTCTGAAAATTAAATTTGTTCTTTTAGAAGAGTGAATTGCCTTGTTAGACATGAAAGGCAATAACCATCCCTACCATAGCATACAGTTGTGTAGGGGAACATGTCTTGTTCTCAGACATCCACCCCCACATCAATACTCACACAATCTAGTGAGGTGTGAAAAGGGGAGGAGATACAACAGGGTTGGGGTTTTTTTACTGTGATTTCAGTGTAGAAAAAAAAGACATGGAGAGCTTTCGTTTCCCAGGATGAGGAATTTTGCTTCTAAGAAAGAGCTGATTTAAAATTTCATTTACATCAGTCCTACTCACATCACATTTGCAGCATCATTCACTGACAGCCAGTGAGTGGCTAGGAGAAGATCTGCATCACAGCTTCAACCCCTGTTGACATTTGCCATTTTGGTTTACTTGTAGCTGTGGAAGTTTATAAAGAGTTTTAGTAGGAATTACAGATTGGCAAAATCTTAACTTGCTTTTAGTAAAGAGCTACATATCATGTTTCCTGTCCTCAGTTCTTACTCGTAGAAATTTATTTCTGGGTTGACACTGATGCAAATTGGTTTAATAGCACCAGCATGCTTACCAATGGAAAGGGATGAGTAAATTATTCCAGAATTCCTGGCATAGCAGTTTTGTGCTGCTGGACTTGGAGGTTAGTGGCTCTCTTTCCTACTCAGCCCCCTTCCATATTCTGCTAAGGGTCACTTCGTGAGTCTCTTGGCATCTTGGGTGTAATGGTGTGATCTCAGAAGCAGAAAGCTGCTGTAAAGCTGCTCTGGTTTATCCCTAGAGACCCATTGTCAAAGTTTCTATGGATGTTTGTTTTGGTCCTGTTTTGAATGTGCCGTGTCTCAGTGACACTCTCAGTGACTGAAGAATTGTCTTGGTATGAAGAAGGCTTTCTGGTTCATCATCCAGGTGCCAAATAAGTTGACCCTACTATTTCTCTCATTCATCACTGTTATGTCCAAAAAATAAGACAGTAAAATAGGGAATGGTTAGAGAAAACAGAGTCCCAAGAAAATAAAGGACTGAGGAGATGGTCCTCCAAGCTACTTCTGTTTTCTTATTGCTGCTTCAAGGGCAGCATTAAGTCCAAGTTTACTGTCAACTGAATAGTTGATATTGAAATAAAGTGATTTGGGGACTTTCCAGCAAAGAAAGTCATGCATTAAAAGCAAAAGTTTTGCTTGAAATCTTTGCAGAAGTTCCCTGAACAGCCGATCTCGGTGAGCTTTTGGCAGTCATCCTGAAAGCACTGATTGCAGCCTCTGCTGGTTAACGATGTCTAGTTATTGCTAAGGGGACCAAAGGGATAATCCATTGTGATGAGTGAAAGAGCCAGTTAGGAATGAGGGATTCCCTGTAATGGCATCCCCGTATGTGAGGTTATGGCTGACTCCCAGACAACTGTAAGAAAATGTGTGGCAACATTCCTTCCGTAGTGATGCAACACGGAACAGTTACCTGATACCGCTGCAGAGCTTTGGAGGGAAAAGTAGCCCAAGAATTGGAACGATTGGAATTCAGTGTGTCAGTCAAAGCCAAGAAAGATAAGATGGCAGCTGCAAATTAGCCAGTATTTGTGCCCTCCAGAATGTAGGTGGATCTTCAGGTAAACAGACAGGGTTTGACTTTGGAGAAATTGTGAAGCAAGTGTATGCAGTGCTAAATTGAATGAAACACACAGAACAGAAGTGTCAGGAGAAATTATAAACCGATAAAGGTTTTTTGCCAGAATCCTATAAATTCCCAAAAGAATGGTCCTTTAGGTGAGGTCTGAAGTGGATAGTGGCTTGCTGAAAGCTGAAGTTTGTTTTGTAGATACAGGCATTGTACAAAAGAAAGGATAAGCTGAAAGAAGTGTGGAATTTTAGCTTGAACTGGAATGAAAGTTGAACAGAAGTGTAAATCTAAATGAGAAATCTAAAGCAACAAGGGAGGAAAGAACAGTGAGTAGATGACAGGACATATTAAAAACAAGATTACTAAAAAAAATACTCCTATATTCATTAAAACAAAGACAGGGAATGAGCAAGGTGCTAACAATCAATAAGAAGTGATTGACTAAAGTGAATTGTGCAAGGCCTTGAGGAAAAAGGTCAGACAGTACATTGGAAAATGGCAAAACAATATGATCACTGAAATCCTTTGGGGAAATATGAGCTACAAGCAGATGTGAAAACAATTGATTTGCTGCTGAGTGAGGGAAAAGATCCAGTTTGGAATGCTAATGACCATAATATGAGTATATGAGGACTCAGCCCTGTAGGTGATAACAGAATAAATCAGCTCTTCAGCCACTCACAAAGGTTTTTATGTGTTTTCTTTATTTTTGATTTCTGTGTAAGAAGAGGACTTGTTGTAATTACTACAGAGCCATATTTTGAAAATATCCCTTGTGGTTCCTCGGGAAATTTTCAGTTCCCCAAAGAATCATTATTTATAATTTGTACTAAGGTAGAAAAATGAAGGAGTTGTACTAGGATCTGGGTATACAGCCCTGTCACCACAATATTAAATATGAATGCATTATAGTGGAACTGCAAAATAGAGCTAAACTCAGATTTAAACTCAGATTTAGGTACCCATGAGGTGATACTCAGCTTCTGAAAAGGCTCCTCCCTGTCTGTGAAACAGCTTTGTTTTTTCTAACATTTGCCACTAAAGCTTTTATCCTAGCACCAATTAACTGAAGCAATTAGGGGTGGACAAGTGGAGCACAAAAGGTAATTTTAAAGGGTGATAGTTGTCTGCCTATTAAGTTTAACAGCAGACATGTTTTGGTCCTGCTCAGAGGTCTCATGAAGGTAAGATGTACGTGCATACATGTGCATCTGTATCCTTTACCAAACTAAACTAAAGGACAGACCAGCGTTTTTTAACAAAACAAATGGCATCCACTCTGCAGATAAAGAGCTCTGAGTACCTCTGCTATGCTATTCTTTTCCTATAATGCCATCTAAAGTCCTATTTTAATAAAATGTGTCTATTCTGTTGGATTAAAGTACATTGTCTTAAAAAATGAAGACCTCAGATTACCTTTTGATTCATAACTCTAACAAAAGGGAAATAGGCAGGAGCTAGAAAACAAGCATGGTTTTCAGATGTCTAAAAATATCAGTCTTGATTGTGTTCCTAGGAAAGTGGTGTACCTTTTAGCCCACTTTAAGGGTCAATAGATTTTAGCTATTTCAAAATAAAGGTGGGAGTAAATTTCAAAGCAACCTGTCCCCAGTGAGTCAGTCCTGCTGACAAGTCTTTTTTTTTTTTCCCTTCTTTAATACCAAACATGTCTGGAGTGAGTCTTTCTGCTGACAGCAGCTGTAGCAGCATGGCACAGGAGACATATGGTCTCTTAAACAAATCCCATGTAATTTAGAGCTGTACAGATCAAGAACGGCATCATAAATTTAATCCAGACATTGATAAGAGCCCTGTGCAGGTATTGGAGCTCTGCTGTCATCCTGAGACTCAGACTCCCTCTTTGGTCAATTACCTGCTGCAGTCCAAGCTAGCTTCTGTTATCAGATTGATTTAAGGGATGCTGTAACATGGAGTGTATTGTCTTGTGTCAGTACACATTTTGATATTATTAATGACATGTCTGAGGAGGGTGAAGGCTGAGAATGCCTTCTACCAGTGACTCTCCCTCCAGCCTCTCCCAATGCAGTTGCGAAAGGACTCCAATTGTGTTAAACTTCATGACCTTCCATCCATGTCCTTTTTTGATGACTTTAAAGGATAGTCTTCATGAAGGGAATAGCTTCAAACATGGCCAAGAGAAAGCTTGGCTACTCAGTCCTTGAGAGTGATACCTGTAAAAACTTAAACCCCTTTTCAGCTTGAATGTTATGTCTCCCTGAAGTATGTTTTGATTCTCAGACACTCCTCTCTGTGTCCTTTTATACGTGTGTATACATTTCTAAATGTAGCAGTGTGGCACTTCTGTGTCCAAGCGCAGAGTGCAGTTTGAGCCAGGCCAGTTATGGAAGAATTGAATTGGAGTTTAGAGGTAAAGGAGCCACTTGGCAGCTGCAACTGGCCCCTTTGCAATAGTAAGGAATTTGCACGAGGATTTTATCAGACTAACAAATTTTGGGGGTTTTACAACCCTGGATGCCTCTGCTATCAGTCCTTTATTCTTCAGTGGTACTTCAAGTCAGTAGCAGGAGGATAGCCTGTCTCAGTTGCAGCAGTACATCTCATTTTGGGCAATGTTTAGTGCTTTATAATCCTTCACTGAAACAGAGGTGAGAGGTGTGTGTGCTGATAGCACAGAGAAATGGAACAAAAACACCAAAGTGTTCTTACTGTCGTAGAACTCCAGTAACTCTGAAGTGGATGGAAGGACTCTCTAATAAATCGTTAGTCTTCAATAACTGAGGGCTTCTGGTGCACACAGAGGGGCAGACTTCAGCTTGCTTTTCCTGGAGAAGTATGCAGACTCCAGAAACTGGAAATAACAGAGCTCCATCAACAGCTCTGCTCAGCACCCAAATGACCTCAGGCAGGTAGTTGTTATTTCCAAACTAATCAGTATGCCTAATAGAAACTTTTTGGGACAGTCTTGCTATGTGTCAAACTCATCAGAGTAGTCATGTTCCTAGTGCTGCTGGTGAAGCTGAAAGTCATGGATTTCATTGCAGAAAAAAAATAATAGAATGAATTGATATGCAGTAAAAGATAAAATCAGTCCCAAGGAGCATCTAAATATATCCATCCTAGCTAAAGCACTGACAAAATCAAACGTGCCTTTCAAATCACAGACCAGCTAGAACCAGTTCATTGTTATAACCTTAGATTTCCCCTGAATATAGAGTTACAATCATATGAAAGTATATATTAAAAGAATTGCCTACATTTTCATGCAAGTTATTTCTTAAAGATTATGGATAAACTCATGACAAATAGCCTTTTGCAGTTTGGGGAATTATTTGAAGGCAGGATC